GTGGGGGGGGGGGGTCACGGAGCCTGGAAGAGGCCGGTGACAGTGCGGGCAATAGAAAACCTGGTGTGAGCTGGTGGGTATGCCGCCCCCACAAGGAGCGGCGCCACCCACACCCATGGCGGCGGCGATGGGGAGGACGATATACCTAAGAGGCTGGCGGATCCACCAGAAGGGGGCAGTGGTGCAATCCACTATCAGGGGTGTGGCGGTCCCCCATAAGGAACAAGGACCCACAGCAGTAGGAAGAGGAGGAAGACGTTTTAAAGCCGTTCTGGTGCCTCTTGGCGGTAGCCAACCGCAGTTATTTTAACTGGCACGCTAAAGCAATCGCCAAGAAGATGGATCCGGCGCGCTCCAACAAATATCGTGAGATCACACTCGTGGCCAAGATGAGTTGTCACCATCTGGAAACGAGTGCAACAGATGCGGACAGCATCGGCAGCTACAGAAGTCGTGGGGGAAATGGCACGTAAACACGATTGGCTTCTAGTCCCCCCCCCTTCAGTTGCACAGGAGCATCAGCACCAAGGAAGTACGCTGTTTTTGCAATGCGACGCATGGCAGCGACTTCTAGTGATGCCGATGGGGGAGGGGAAGACGAGCGTCACCCACGGATTAAAATATGGGGCACGAATGCAGCACTGCCGCAGGGGCAGCGGTGCTGCAGGCCCCTGGCAGCTCGAGCCTCACCCTGACATGCCGTACGACAACATTTGTGGACTCTGTGACTGCTTTGCCGCGCCGACGAGACCAATAAAAATGGGTGACAGGCCCGATTGGCTGCTGCACTTGCAGCACATTGCTGGAGTGCTGGGGCTATCGTCTTGCAAAGGCCTCGCCAAATTTCGTAAATCCCTGGGGGGTGGCACGAAAAGGGGTGACGGTGGCGACAGGGAGAGGTGTGCTGAGAATAAGCACGCCGATAAGAGAGGAGGGGGGTAGACCACTCTTTCCGCCACTTCATACTCTGGAGGTGTTTGGACAGTGATTGCCCTGATGGGGGTGGTGCATACCCACCTGCCAGACAGGATTAGCAGTGTCTGCCTTGTACGCTTTGTTGTTGTTTTGTCTATGCCGCATCTTTTAGGGCGATTTATCCGTCTCGCTGTTCGATCGCAAGTGTTCGTGTCGCGGATTATGCGTGTTTGTTCATATATATATATATATATAGTTTCAGGGAATGGATTGTGTGGGTTATGGGGTTCTTTTACTTTCTGTTACGCACGAGCTTCATTTATCCAATAAGCTGTTGATATTTTGCTCATGCCCGTTTGAATTTGAAGTATTCCATTCCCATTTCCATCTGCAGTCTCTCTTCTCTTCTCGACAAGCTAGGGACTTGGGCGCACATCTTTTTGAGGTTGCAGTACTGGTTGACTAAGCTTGGTGCTGTTAGTGTTGGTGGTGGCTGGCTGGTCTGCTACTCCCGCACGTCACGGCTGCGAACACACGTGGCGGGAGGGCGAGACGAGATGCAAAACAGTACCGTGCAGCTGCGACTCGCCACAGACCCCGCCGCCGCTTCGCTGAGCGTAGAGGCACTGTGCACCTTGGCCACACGCTTCATCACTGCACAGGAGCAGCAGCAACAGCCGCAGGAAAGAAAAGACATAAATGATGGCGCCACAGCGCGCGTAGGCAATGGCGGCGACGGCACACTGCAACACATTCTCTTATGCGATGTCCTTGCTGATACAGCTCAGTGTTGCGGTACCCCGTTGCCTCGGGAGCAGAAACAACAAGAAGATCAAAAGCCGACCGAGAATTGGACCACCGCCTCGTGCGCGTTGCATGCCAGTCTCGGAAGCCCCGTGGAGCTACGACAGCAATCCTTCAACGCCATGCTTGCGCGGGATGCGTTTGTGCTGCTACTGCGCGAGGTGCACGCACAGCGCATGGTGGCGAACTCCTACAAGCGGAAATACACAAATGCGATGGAGTCGCTGCGCCTCGCCGAGAGAGAGGCGTTGGCCGTGTGCAACGAAGAAACTCAGTTGAGCGGCGACAAGAAAGATGGCGGGCAACAGGAACATCAACAGCAGAAACAGCAAGCCAGTTCAGCGTCTCAAGTCGATGGCGGTGACGCCTATCACGGTGACACACAGCTGACTGATGGCAGTCTCGTTGTCGCGGGGCTGAACGATCATGCCGCGTCTCCCAAGCAGCTGTGTGCCGCAGCGCGGCGTCGGCACCGCTGCTTCCGCCGCCTTGGCGGGGCGCTCCACCGCGCAAGGGTGGGATTCCGTAAGGCGCAGCGTGGCCGGTCACTCTCTGCCAGCGGCAGCGCACGCAATTCTCGTGGGGATTGGCTGGCCTCTGTCTCTTCCTCCACTACCATTGGGGGAGAGATGTCGTGGCACGTCCAGTCTAGAAGCAGCGGGGATGAGTTACCCGCTCTTGCGCGGTCGTCGGCCGGCACCTTAAAGCGGAGTCGCGTCCGCTGCTCCAGCTGCTCCTGTGCGCCAGCAGTGGCGCGGAGTGCTCTGGGTTCCTTGCTCTGGCCCGCGCGCACAGCCGCTGTTGAGGCGGCGAGTGCGTATGCACACAGCGCGCTGCAGGAATACGGCGACGATAGCAGGGGCAGTAGCAGCGGCCGTCCATCGCTGCGCCACGTCAGCGCTTCCTACAGCCAGACGTGTTTCGGTGTGTCGTTGTCAAGATCGGCGTCGCCGAGGTGGCGCAGCACGACCCCCGACAACCAGCTGCTGCAGTCTTCACGCCACGAGGGGAGGAGCAGCGACAAGAGCAGTAGCAATAGCGACAGCGACACCACGGCAGATATCTCGAGTGTGCAGCTGGCGGTCAATGCGCAGCTGCGGCAGTGGCGACTTGAAGCCTCACGCATGTCTGACGAGTTGTTAGGCCGTGTGCCACACCCTTGATGAGTGGCGGAACACGTGCGTGGAGCGCCGGTAGACAAAAA